CCTCCCACCCCTTTGCAGGAAATCCTCAGCCCCCATCCTGGCCTTGGGTAATCACTGATCTGCTTTCTGTCATCCTAGGTAAATTGTCTGTTCTAGAAGTTTATGTAACTGGAAGCAAACAATAGGTACTCTTTATTCTCCTGCTTGGCATAATATTTTGAGATTCATTCATGGAGTTGTGTGTATCAGTGGTTCATTCCTTTCTATTGCTGAGTAAAATTAATAGGACTTTTAAGAAAAAAAAACTCCCAGGAGGACTATGGCCAACCTTTCAGCCCCTTCACACTTTAGTGTGAATGAGTTTTGTTTTTGGTTGAGCAACATATGGAAAGTATAAAGGGCATCTGGGTAACTGGAAGAGAGGGGAAGGCCTGACAAGGTAAGAAGCTGAAAGGCAATTTTGCCAGCTTGGCAGTTTTGCTTGTCTTTCATATACAGAGTCAAGGACCTGCCTCTTGCCTGCAGTGCGAGAAATCCAAGAGTGAGTGAATGAATGTTACTGAATATCTCCTATGTGCTAGATTCTACGTGATGCTCATGACAACACTGATTAAATGTTTGAACTCTTCTTTCACGTGAGGAAATAGATTCTGGAGCTGTTAATAGGATTCAGGCCAGGTCTTCCTACCTACAAGGTTCAATTCCAATATGAACCCCCGCTGGTCACCGACTCCCTGTCCTGGGCAGAGCACAGTCAGAGAGAGAGAAGGAGAGAGGGAGGCAGGGAAGGAGGGAGAGAGGCAGGGAGAGGGAGGGAGAGAGGTCAGGACAGATCCACGGCAGGAGCGCAGGAAAAGGAAACTCTTGAGCTGCATCAGGTTTCCCAGCACTGATCCAGTCTGGGCACTTAGGGGATCCACTGACCCAGCCTGGGGGGTCACTGGCAGTGCCTCCCCGGCTTCAGCATGGTGCCTCCTGCTCATAGCTTTCCCTGGAATGAGACCCTGAGTATGAGCACAATCTTCACGCCACTCCCAGAAAAGGTGGGGAAGTCTGCGCGGCGACGAGGGCATTTCTGAGAGCCTGGCAAACAGGAGGCAGAGCTGGGCCTTGGCCAGCGTGCTGACCACGAGCGCTGGTTCCCTACAGGCTGCATTCCGGGGCTTCAAGTGTCATCTCTCTCCAGCCACATGTGTTTACCCTTTGCGCACTCCACATCTCTCCCTTCGACCTGGTGGGGACAGGAAGGAGAGAACAAGGCCACTGCAAGATGGAGCCCTTGAGACTCACTCTGCCCGGCAGGCACTCCTTAGCATTTCACACAACTGACTGGCAAATGCCAGCTTGCCTGCATTTCGGAGGTGTGCTCATTTCCTAGGGCTGCTGGGGCAAAGATCCCAAGCAGGTGGCTTAAAGCCACAGGGGTGGATTCTTTCACAGTTCTGGAGGCTGGAAGTCTGAAACTGAGGGGTCGGCGGAGTAGGTTCTTCTCCCCGCAGTGCCCTTTTCCTCACAAGATGAGTCTGGGACTACGTGTTCAACTGGCCCAACTTCACCTCCCACTGCCTGCACTTTGTGTTCACACCGCCGTACCTGGCAGGGCAGTCACACCACTCTGTGCCTTCCCAAATTCTGTCCACTTGGCTTGGAAGGCCCTCCTCTTCCTCCCCTCCCTCCCCCCTCTGTGTGAAAACTCTCACTTGTCCTTCAAGCCTCTCCCCTTGATGAGGGCTCCCCGAGCACTGTGGGGAGGGTTGACTGTGGCTCTTGGTGTCCACTGGTGCCCCCTGCGTGTCCCTCCATTGCTGACACCTAACCCAGAGCATTGTTTTTTGTCGTCACTATTGTCCATCTCTTCTCCGGACTGGGCCCCTTAAAGGGTTTCTTTTGAGTCCCCAGGGCAGTTACATGGAAGATTATTCAGCTGAATAAACACGGTAAGCCCCTTCCGGGGATAGAGACCCAGCAGCGTCTTTCTCACACTTGCATATTCCCTCCTGTGCTTGATGCCTAGCTGGCTCTCAAAGGCTTCCTGTGTGGATTAGCTACTGAGAGGAAAAGCCACCCTCAGCAGGGGCCTGGTGGGAGCTGTAGTCCAGGACACTAGCAGCCCTTCCGTGAGTGCCCCAAGGAAATACAATCCCCCTGGGTTCTTCTCCTACTGACTCAGGTGCTTCTCAAATGAGATTTCACGGAGACCAGGGAGAAGGACAGGTGGTGCCTTTCATCTTGCCAGGGAAGAAGTGAAGGGAGACAAAGGGGGTGCCCCTGGCCTGAGGGTCTACAGCCCCAATTCTGAGGCAGTGCTGATAGAGGGGCCAGGATAGGGCATCGGCAGAGCCTTTGGTGTTCCTGGCTCATCCCTGCGGGGGAGTGGGGATCATGCAGTGTTGGTCAGTGTCACCAGGGCCTGGGGTCCGGGACTCCCAGACTGTGGCTGACCCAGGCCCATCCTCATGGAAAATGACCACCTTAAGGCTTGGCCACTGAATGACGGTTCCTCTCCAGCATCAGCCCAGCCTCTCCTTTGGGGGAACAAGGAACCCTTAGTGTGAGGTTTTGTCTTTTCATCTCCTCATTTCCAGTCATGTGAGCTTCCCTTCTGCATCCCTGACAATGCTACCTGTCACTTGAAGCCAGGTGACGACTAAGGTTGGGCTCACACCTGGGCCTCCAGGCTCCCTGTATACTATTTCTTCCACTGATGTCCAAAGGCTGTCCACCTTGTTCTCCGGACCATTTTAGCAGAACAGGAGACCCAGCAAATGAGTTATTCCATCTACTGGCTCCCACTCTGTCCCCTTCAGGGGTGACTCACGGTTGCTCAGCCGTCCCCTCCTCCCCAGTCTCCCTGCTCCAGCCAGACCCCCAGGGGTTCTGGGGTAGGGCCGAGGCTGGGAGAGACTCCCAGGGCTCATGATGCAGGGAGGCGCTCGCTCTTGGGCTGTGGTAGTGCCCCGCACCCAGTACCCTGGCTGGGTACTGGGCTGGTGTCCTGAAGAAGGGATTGGAGGATAAAAAAGGGTAAAAAGGTGAGTAGAAGAGAGAGTGCTGAGAGGACAAGGTGGGAAACCCCCAGTCAGTGCAGAATAACGGCCACAGGGGACCCAGGGCAGTGCTTGGGAACACACATCTCCACAAAGCCCCGTGCACACCGCAGGCTGCCCAGACAGGCATCACCCCCGGAACAAGGAGCACCAGGAAAACAAACACACTCGCTCTGTTCTTGTTAGGTTTCCCAGGGAAAGTGGGGGACGGGGAGGAAGTCCCCGAAGCCAAGTCCTCTTTGCTTGTACTCCCTCCTCCGACCTGACCATGATCCTCGTCCTGGGCAGGGTGACTGGGTCTCCTAAATGCCAGGCAGAAGGGGCCCTCAGAGATAGCCGGTCCTGTGCTGTCCAGCGCGACGGCCACCAGCACACAGGGCTTCTGAGCCCGTGAAACGTGGCTAGTCCCCATAGGCAAGGGCTGTACGTAGAAAATACACGCTGGGCTTCTGAGGCCCTAGTTGGCCGCAAAAGAATGTGCAATATCTCATTAACATATTTAAAAAGATTGATTACATGGTGAAATGATCATTTGTTTGGCATCTATTGGGCTAAATAAAATATATTATTAAAATGAATTCCCCTGTTTCTTTGTACTTCTTATATTGTGGCTGCTAGAAAAATTAACATTCTATATGTGGCTGGCCTTTGCGGCTTGAATAATACAACGATTGGACAAAGCGGTCTTGTTCTTCCTCTAACAGACAAAGAAACTGAGGCTCAGAAAGAAGATCTGACTTTACAGAACACACTAAAAAGCTAGTCTCCACCGATCCCTTGATTACTCCCTTGCGAGCGCGCACACACACACACACACCCACACCCACACACACACCCCACCACCACCACCACCCCCCTAGAAGCCCCAGGAGAGGATCTTGTGGACTTACAAACCCCTGGGGCTGCAGGCTTCATGGGAAGTATTCAAGACATTGACTGTGCTTTCTTGACAGTAAGGTAAAAACCTAAGAGACGTGCAGGCATTGGCTCCAAAAGGTCACATTTTTAAAGCCCATTAGACTCTGGAAACTTGGGGTGTGAGGAGTGAGGAGAAAGCTGGGGAACCCTAGACCATCCCGCCTGAGTAACCCAGGTCAGTTTAGCAGGCGCGCCAGTGGGCGCCCTCCAGGCACACAGCCCTCTTCCCCCACGGCTTGGGCAGAGCCCGGCCCAGCCCTCCCCCTGAGGGGGCAGCCGCTCAAGGATTGTTTGACAAGTAAACAAAGACAAGTTCCAGGAGGACCGGCTCGTAACAGAAGAGGAGTGGGCAGCGGAGGGGGCGGGAGCAGGACACCAAAGGCAAATTCCTTTATTTCATAATTTTATCTGGCCTCCCCTTTCTCACCAACCGCCAGTGTCAAGACTTTGAGAGGTGGTCCCAAAGCGGGACGATAACGATCTCTCTGCCTCGGGGCAGTTCATCACAGGACGGCTCGGACAGCGGAGGGCGGCCGGGCTATCTCGGTGGACTCCCAGGGGGAAGCGCTCCCGGGCCCCCTCCTGGCTCTGGCTAGGGAGCCCCAGAGGGTGGTCACCGCCTCCCATCCGGCGCCTGCCGCCCCCCGGCACTGCCAGGTGGGAGGAGGGGGAGGAAGGCTGAGCTGCAGGGAGCCCTAGAGACAAGCCAGCTTTTCCCACGGAAAGGGGAGGAAGGGCCACTTGGGGGTCAGCTCGCCGTGCTATTTCCTCCAATAAACACGGCAAGTAACTGCGTACCGCCCTCTCCAGCCTTCGTCCAGCCCCAGCCCACGGGCTGTGGGACCCGGGAATCGACCCAGCCGCTCCTCGCTGTAGAGCCCGCGCGGTTGGCAGACGGCAGTGCCCGGCTGGCGCGGCCCCATCCCGGAGGGGACAGCGGGCAGGGCTGCCAAGTAGCAGTGTCCGCCGGCCCCCTATCCCCGCGGCTCTGGGTCCGGCGGCGGCGCGCGTTTCAGAGCAGTCGGGGTGCCAGGCGGCGCCCGGGAGGGTCTCCTGCGCCCCCCACCCCCCACCTCGAGGGTGACTGTGCGGCTGACGTCAGGCGGCTTTGGGTTCATTCCCTGGCACGAGGACTTTATTTTCATAACAGCACGCCGCGTCGCGGGACTGGAATGGGCGTGTCCTCTCCCCCCGGCCCCCTCCCTGCCCCGGGCCCTTCGCTCCCGCCCACGGGCCACACCGCCCTTATAACCGCAGGGCGCCGCGAGGCCGGGATCGCCGCCCGCGGCTCCCGCAGCTCCCAGGGGCTCCTCCCGGCTGCTCGCAGGCGCGGGAAGTCGCGCAGGTTCGCGCCTCAGCGAAGGCACCAGGGTAAGGGGGGCGCGCGGAGCCGGGGCGCCGAACTCGGGACTGCGATCCCGGGGAGCGCGGCGCAGGGAGGGGAGGGGAGGGAGGAGGGCAGTCCTGCCAATGGACTACAGCCGGCTCGGGGAAAGGAGTCTCAAGGGAGGAATTCCTCGGGTTGGATTCAACTCAGTTATTTTGAGGTGCTTCCCAGGCTAAGACAGAGGGAGAGAGCGAAAGGGAACCCGGATACTAGTTTCTGCTCAGACACTTTATACAAACTCTCGGTAGGCAGCATCCTGGCCCGGCAGGTGGGCGTTCTGGGACGGCTGTAGGCGATGATAGAAGACGGAGAAAGAGCTGAAAGGAAAGGAGCAGGTGGGTGGAGCGGGTGGTGGGGTAGGAGGAGAGAGACGGTGAAAACTGCTGCTTTGCCCAGGCGCCAAAATGTTGCCATTTATTTTGTCCTTCTACAAGTGTGCCTCTCTGAGTTTTGGGAAGTAGATTCTAGAAGCCACCCCTTCTTTTGATGTGAGTGTGGGGCCATGGGCTCCATGGCATTCCCTCTGCTGCTGTCCCCCCAGTTGCTCTGGAACCCGGGCCACATGGAAGTTGGATGTCCACGACAGTCCACTTCCCGGGTGACGACTAGCTTGGACTCAGGGATGGTCCACAAACTGTCCCAGATGGTCCCTTAAACCTCCACAGGGGAAGGAAGGACCAGCAGATAGAGGAAGGCTGATCAGGATCAAGGAATTTGAAGGGCTTTCCATTCCTCACTCCTTTCCAAGCTGATTTTCCCCTGAGAGGGTTTGTAAATACCACACCTGTGGAAGGTTGGGTTGAACAAGCCACGGCTGTGAGCTCCTTCCTGAAGGGGAATACTTGAACCACTGCAGATACAATGGACTGGGGCCCTGGGAGGGGTGAGGGTGGGGGTCAGAATTCCATCCTGTGGGTGAGGGCCGGCTACTTCCAAGAGAGGGAAGGAATGGCAGGGAGGCAGGGTCAGAGGTGTAACCAGAGGGAGACAGAAAGCTCCTCTGAGGGTATGGAGAGGCATGTACTCTAAGGGCAGTTGGGAATGAGCCAGTCACTCCTGGGAAGTGCTCTCAACCCTTGAATCAGGAAGCCTGATTTCTTTCTCATCCAGGCTCTGCAGGATCTTAAGGTTGTGAGGAGGCAAGTTCCTCCTGGACCTTGGGTTTCTCCTAAGGGGTTTGGAGAAGGCCCCCAGCTCCTTCCCAGGGCTGAGATCCTAATCCCTTTGTACATGCACCTGTCTCTTTGGGTGTCCTCTTCAGAGCCTGCTCCTTTGTATTCCACCAGTTAGTGGGAATTGAAGATAACAGGATATGCAGAAGAATTTCTGTGTGATTTTATTCTTCTCATTTGAGAGTTCGTCTTCAGTTCCATTGCTATTTAAAAGTGCATAGACTGAGCCGAGGAAATGGGCAGGAAATGATGTGTTGGTATAATAGGATCTTTAAAAACAATGGATTGAATAGTATTTTCACTTGAGTGGACTTGGAATTTCTGAGTAGGTTTGTTTCTTTAGTTCTTATATTTATTGCCTTTTGGTCAGAATATATAGTGTGTGTATTCCTTATATTAGAATTTTGGATTTTTTTTGTGTGTGGTTTAAAATATGCTGTTTTTGTAAATGTTCCACGACCCTTCAGTAGAAGCAATCATATAGAGCAGAGGTTGGTAAACTAAGTCTGTGGCCAAACACTTCCCAATTTTTGTGCATAAAGTTTTATTGGAACACAGCCATGCTCATTTGTCTGAAAGCCATGGCTGCTTTCAGCTACAACTGTATGGCCTGCAAAGTCTGAACTATTTATTATCTGTCCCTTTACAGAAACTGTTTGCTGGTAACAGATATATATGGGATCTTAATTAAATAATTAATAATGGAAATCTAAAAAGATATGAAGATAGAGAATATTTTGATTAAAGTATCCATGGCACATTTACAAAAATTTACCATACTATTAGTTTTGTCTGTTTCATCTACTGAGGACTGATAAATGAGTATTTAATTCTCCTATATCAATAGTATTTCTTTTGATTTCTCCTTGTATTAATGATAGGTTTTGTTTTATGTATTTTGTTGGTATATTATTCAGTGCATAAGAGTTTATGATGGTTGTATCTTCAATGTGGAGTATCCCTAATTATTTTAAAGCAGCTTTATCCATATAATACCTTTTTGCCTTGACTAAACTTTGTGTGATATTAACACCTCAACTCTTAATTTTCTTACCATGAGCAACTCTTTACCTTTGTACCATACATATTACCTGCTAAATAAAATCTATTATTTTTGCCTTTTTTTTTGCATTTATTTTCACTTTTTCCTTCCTTTTGCTTTCAAAGCTTCTAAATCCTGTTGTTTCAGGTGCGGTTCTTCTAGGTATAGTATAGTTTAATTCAGTCTTTTTTCAAAATGGAAAAAGTCACCATTTTCATTTTAATAATAGTCACTCCCTTTGTCCTCCAGTTTTTGGCCATGTGGTGTGCTCTCTCCATCCTCTCCCACATTAGATAGTCTTTTAGATCTTTTAGTATTTTTAGATCTACTAGTCCACTGAGAGGATGGTAGTACCATCCTCAGGGCTTAGCAATACAGGCTTGCAAAGAGAGGTAAGTTTGGCCTGCGACTTCTTAGATCAAGCATGAATATGTTACCTTTATATATTGAAGCAAAATACTTAAATAAAGCTGTCTTTGAGAGCTGTGAGATGGTATGCCAGGAAAGGTTTTCACTTTATCCATCTGTTTTCTAGAAATTTCATTTCTTAAAATTCTGGGCCTGAGAGATTTGGAAGCTTTACTCAAAATATTAAATTTTTTTCTAAAAGAAATTTTCAGTATTTTTTTTTATTTTAGTTTTTCAGTTTCAGTTTTTTAAAGATTTTCAGTATTTTATTTTATATTTTGGTAATTTAACTGATATCAATTTGAAGTCCCCAGGTTTAAAATAGAGGAAGATGGAAATATCCCCTGGAAACTACCCAAAAGTGAAGAAATTGGGATGAACACTGTAGTTACACTTGTTTTGATCTGCCTGTGGTGGTATGATGATTTTCTCTCAGTTACTATACGGAAACTCAATTCAGTGACATTATTCAGATGTTACTCATAAGCTGTTGCCAGGGTGTAACACTTTTATGTCATCAGAATTCAGATAGCTACACAGAATAGGGGCTCCTGGAGATTTCCTTTCCATTTTTAACTAATCCTTCCTCAAGGGAGAGAAATTTCTGTGGGACTCCACCCTTGTCTTAGAACTCAGCACAGATAGAAAGATGAATATTAACATCAGCACATTTGTCTTCAAAAATTCCTCCTCTCCATTACTCAAACTTGCTAATAAATAACTTGCTTTGAGTAAACACTCAGTGGTCCGTCTTAGTCCAAAACACTCACCCAGCAGCCATTGTGCAGAACATGTCCTGAGGGGATAACAAGAGATGGATTTGCTCTATTTCTTTAAGAAGGTTATGACCTGATAGGCGAGTCAGCACTGATATTAATGCATATATAACATATATATGGAAAAACTTGAGTACCAAGAAGTACCTAATCATAAAAACTATGAAGAGAACTTCAAATTTAGAATAGGATGGGATTAATAAAAAGAAAAACCTTCATGATAGAAGTAAGCTTTGGGTTAAGTTTCAAAGAAATATGGCAGACAGACTGTGGGTCAGAGTGGCAGGGTCTTTCTGGCTAGGAGAACAGCGTGTCTGCGTGGAGGCAAAGAGCGTCACTATGGGAAAAGGCCTCAAGTGAGCTCCCATTCCCTCTGGATCAAAAACCTTCTCAGATTTGTTTGCCTTGCATAGAAGGGAGAGGGGAATTAGGAAGGTCGGTGGAGAAGGGTGGGAGGACCAGCTGAAGCTCAAATTGAGGCTGAAAGCCAGGACTCCTTCCCAGGCTTCTCTTCTTCGCTCCGCTTGTGGCATCTCACTCCATCGGCCACTCTTTTTATTAGAAACTGCCCCTTGGCTTCTGGGAAACTGCCTGGGCTCATTTCCTTTACTAACCCCCCACAATTCCTTTTGAACATCCTTTGCTGACTCCTGCTTTGACGAGAAGGTGGCCCCGTGGTTCTGCCCTTGGCCCTCCTGTCCACAGTGCTCCCTGTGGGGTGGTCTCCTCTCAGGACTTCAGCTGCCTTGTCTGTACTTCCCCTAACCCAGTCTGTCCTGAGCTGCAGACCCTCACGTCCCAGCACAGAGGGGTCAGCACAGCCTGGTGTCTAGGAGCCTGGCTTTTAAGGGCCATGTGATCTTGGGCAAGTTATTTTAACTTCTCTGTGCCTCCATTTCCTCACCTGTAGGAAGGGGACATAGTGACAGGGGTGTTGTGGGGATCAAATGAAACAGTACATGGCTCAGAGTAAACCTTTAGGACAACTTAGCCTTGTCATTTCGGGAGACCTCCAACTGCTCTCCTATATTATCTGAAATTCAACAAGGCTAAACTTGGCATCTCTCCTCACAAGGCTGTATTTCTTTCTTTCTTTTAAATCCAAAATGTGTTTATTGGGATGGTTTCCCACTCATTTGGATTCACGGTGCTCTTAGGGCTGCTTCCGTCTAAAGACGCATCATCTGTAAGCCTTGCTTTCTCCCGGTAGGCTGGCAGAGGACAGTGGAGCAGGCAGCACACAGAACTACCATTTGTGCATGGCTAAAGATGTGATTCTATAGCCTCCTGGGCATTTCCTGTCCGTGAATAGGAAGTGCGGCTCAGCACCAGGCGCTTCTTCTGTGTTTCCTCTTCTCTTCTGGAGGGAGACGAGGGAGATCCTTTGCAAGAGGCATGTTCTCATGGCCAGGTCGCCACTGCCAGAGAGTCAAGCCTGTGTTTCTAAGCTCCATTCGGTTGCCTAAGCCAGCAGTTGGCAATTAACCGGACTCCTTCATGCCCCAAGCCCTGAGCTTCTCCTTTCCTCCCACGGTTCCTTGCCCGTCTTTCATGCCTTATCTCTCTGGCCTCCTCTCTAAAGCAGCCCCTGTTTTTCACCCCACTAGGTAGGTGGGGTCCCTGTTTTCCATGTGCCCTCAGCCTCCCTCCGTACTCTGTAATTCCTTGTTGGTAGGACAGGGTGACTTTTTGTGTCCTTCCAGGGGCAGCAGCCACACTTTTGGTCCATGTGACTTGTACACTTAACATAGTACATGACACAAAGTAGGTACTGAGATGTTTGTTGATTAACAGGAAGATTGGCCAAATGCAGGACTTCTCACCTGGGAGACTTCTAGAGATGGTATAAATGGAGAGATGCTGGAGTCAGGGAGAAAAGCTCCAGGGATCATAACAGTGATGAAATGGAAGGTGAAGCAATGATTCAGACTACTCAAAAAGAGGCATTCTTCCTAATTATGTGACAGTGGGCATGGCACTCTCTGAGTCAGTCCTCTCACCTATAAAATGGGCTGCTGGAATAGTAAATGAGATAGTAGTTGTAAAAACATGTAAATGAGAGAATCCATATAAAAACATTGACATCCAGCAGCATGCCTGGCTGATGTCCTCACAGGGGGATTCATTATGTGGTAGTAGTCATCATTAATTAAATTGTGACCGTTGGTATTTCTAATGATTGAATGTAGCAGTGAAAAATGGTAGAAAAATCACAAATTTGTTTGGCAGGGATGACAGGAACACTCAGTGTTGACAAACACTTCGGTTATTTGGTGCCATTCCCCAGACAGTCCTAAGAGGCAGGTATTGTCCTCTTCATTTTCAGATGACAGGAAATCTATCTCCTAAGGAGGAAGATAAGCTTCAGCTTTTGACAAGGTAAAAATCACAAATTTGTTTGGCAGGGATGACAGGAACACTCAGTGTTGACAAACACTTCGGTTATTTGGTGCCATTCCCCAGACAGTCCTAAGAGGCAGGTATTGTCCTCTTCATTTTCAGATGACAGGAAATCTATCTCCTAAGGAGGAAGATAAGCTTCAGCTTTTGACAAGGTTTAGGACCCCAGGTAATTCATGTGCAGATACTCCAGGGAAGGCCGCACACAGCTTGGGGAACCTTCTAGGGCTAGGCCATACGACTCCAGACACCTTTCCCGCCTCTCTGGGAATGACAAAGAGGTGTCTCAGAGCCTGGAAACTAGAAGCTGGGGACCTTGGCAAGTGCTGGCATCTGTCCTCGGGTACCAGTCCATGCTGTGTGCTGTCAGGACTGCGACTGGGGTCAGTACAGCTGGCTTTGTCCTGCAGGTGAGCATTCCCCTGTCTTGCCCTTCTTGGCCTGCTCAGACCTTCAACCTAACCTCTAGTCATGCTTTGGGGTTTGGTTAGGAGTTTGCGGCACATATTTTTTTAATGGCAGGGGATGGGGCAAGCAGGAGGATGAGGGAGAGTGAGAAAGAGATTTGAGCCCCTTCGACAAGAAGCTTCCCAGAGGGATGGATCGCGGAGCTGGACGTGGGCTCAGACCATCTAGTTCAGCAGCCACCCCTGTACTGGAGAAGAGGATGGAGGTTCCAGGACATGGTATCCACACGTCTAGGCAGCCAAAGCCCCTTCTTCCTCAAAGGGTAGAGTGAAGACAGGACTTGGAGCTGAGCCTAGTAGATGACTCCCTCCCTCTGTGCTCTTCTTCCTTTCCCTTCCTTCTTGTCTTGTCTTTTCTTTTTTAAATTATTTTTCCACGCTCTGACTCATTGCAGAGGGCTTTAGGGCCCTGCCGAGTGATTGCAGGGTCTCTGTGGTGGTTTCGTTGGATTAATGGGCCATTCAGTTAGCAGCTGTGGTCAGTGGAGGGGGTCTCGCCCTTGTGACTCAGTCGCCCATTCTCAGGTCCTAGGCCAGAGGCTACACACGCTAAAACTCCACTATCTTCCTCCAACAGACAGGGCTTAGTCATCAGGGAATTGGCTGGGAGCGTGTGACTGGATTCCGGTAAATTCTCCCTGCTTACTGGGAAAACCTCAGGATTCGTGCTCTCCTAGACACACCTGGTCACTTAGGTGGAGGCCGGGTTCCAGACAGGGCCCAGTGCTCCCATCCTCAGGCCCAAAGTGCGACTTTAGGCAGCCTGTGTGAGGAGAGGATGGAAGCAAAGGGGTTAGGACTACGGCCAGTGGACAGGCCAGTGAGGAAGCCCAGTGGGACTGACCAGTCCAACCCGGGCGCCCTCCTCCCCACGACACTCCTCTTGTCTGATCTGTATTCTAATCCATATCTCACACACCCATCCTGGTTAGGCACTCACCTGCCTCAGGTGCTAGGTGAGAGGCTGGTGAGAAATGATTAACAACTCAGCCCTCACCTTCACAGAGCTTTGATCTGGAGGGAGATACAGTGTTGCAGGGATGCGGGGTAAGGTGCTGTGACAGGGAACCCGAGGCTCTCAGAATTCCCGGGATGTGTCTCTCCCTGTACTTGGGAATCAAGGAAAGCTTCCTGGACGAAGGGACCTTTAAGTCAAGTGAAGCGGGTGCAGAGTGGGGGAAGTTGGGGAGAATGTTCCACACAGGTGGGAGAGCATGTCTGAAGGGAGACGAGGGCTTGTTTGGAGAAGTAGTAAGTACTGGCAACGAGGAGGAGGGTGTGAGGTGAGGCTAGAGAGGCAGGCAGGGGCTGAGAACTTACCCTTTTGTGCAGGCTTCTGGCTTTGGCCCTGATTGCAAATAGAATGGCTCAGAGAGGGCAAGCCTGGGGGCAGACGGCCGGGTTTCTGAAGTGGTGCAGGTAGAAGTGATGAGGGCTGCAGAAGTAGACACAGTCAAGAGACACTGAAGGGGTGGAATGGAGGACATGGATGGGGGGTTTGCTAATGTGGGTGTCTGAGGCCAGTTCCCAACTCAGTGCTAGAGCTCAGGTTGGCTTTTAGAGCCCCAGCCTTGGGCTCAAAGAGGAGGAGACCCCTGGGATGCCCCCTGCTCCACGTTCTCAGCCTTTCTCTCAGGACCTCCTCCTGCCCATCCCACTTCAGTAGAGCCAATGAGCCAATGTAGTCATTTCCTTACCATGTAGGAATCAGAGAGGACGCATAACTGAGCAGATGGAGCCACTCCTGAGGGCAGGCTGCGCTCCTCAGCGGGTCTGACCTGTGCTCAAAGCCTGAAAAAAGCAGCCCCTGAGATGCAGTCACCTCTGTTTGCGATGGGCAGCTCCCTGCTGGCTTTAAAGTTCTTACCAGACCACGGGGCTGGACAGTGCTAAGACTAGTAGCATTGGAGTTAGAATTCGGGTTTGACTCCTGGCCACTTATTAGCCGTGTGACTTTGTGAGATAATATTTAGGGTAATAATAATATGAGCTATTATTATTGCAAAGTGTTGTTTGGAATTAATCGAGTAAAGTGCGTAACAGTGTGTCTGACCCATGGTGACAGAGTTAGGAGACCTTCCCTCCCCTTCAGGGCAGCCCAAGAGTAAGTGGTTACTTTCTGCCTTTGGTCTGTGTGCCCTTGACTCTGGTTACAAACCATGTCCACATACCCACTATTCTCATTCCATTTTCTCTTTTTTGCTCCGGCTCTTAGGTTCTCCCAGGCAGAGGCTGTCTAGCTCTGGGGAGTTTGTGTTCCCGAATGCCGATCGGTTTCCTTTTCCCCCTCAAGCCCTGCTCTCCAACAGTCCTTTCAGCTTCTCAGAACTCTGTCCTTTTCCCCTCGCCACATTCCTCATCTCAGCCACCTCCTGGGCAGCCCAGCACCTTCTCAGTAAAGACCTGCTTGGTGGTGAGTCTGACGAGTTTTATTTTCCTCCAAGTTCAAAGTACTTAGGACATTTTAGACCCGTTGTGTAATGCCTGTCATGCTGGGGAAGGGATGGAGGAGAACTGAAGAAGGTGAGTTAAGGATCATTCCAAAACCACTAGTCACCCAGATAAAAAAAAAACAAAACTGTTTACTAAGAAATTGTAAAAAAGTCATTTGTAGGAGAATTAGGAAATATGAATCCGAACTGGATATTTGATATTAAAGGGTTGTTAATTTTAAAAGCACGGTTAAGTTAAAAAGGAATTTTATCTTTTGGAGGTACATGCTGAAGTGTCTAAGCATAAGATGATATGATGTCTGGGATTTGCTTAAAAATAACCCAGTGATGGTGGGGAGAACAGTGTAGCACAGAGAAGGCACATAGTGGATCTGTGGCATCTTGCTGCACTGATGGACAGTGACTGCACTGGGGTATGGGTGGGGACTTGACAATATGGGTAAATGTAGCAACCACAGTGTTTTTCATGTGAAACCTTCATAAGAGTGTATATCAATAATACCTTAAAAAAAATAACCCAGTAAGTGGGATACACTGCAGATGAAGTAAAATTGGCCATATATTGATAATTTTTGAAACCAAGTGATGCATCCATGGGCCTCCATCATACATTCTCTTAATTTTTGAGTCTGCTTGAAAGTTCCTCTAATAAAAACTTCCCCATTAAAAAGAGAGTGTTTTAAAGGCACTTGAGGGACTGTTCCTTCATCTCCCTTGTGTGTTTGGGGTGGAGAAATTGGTTTTCTCCCCACTCTGCACCCACAGTCCATTGCTCCTGTTGGACCCTGGTCTGGGGGTGCTGGGAGGCCCCGACACATGACCCCCACCCACTCAGCTTCACCAGAAGTGAGGGGCCTGGAGGGCCGAGCTGGGGGCTGGTGGTCTCGGCCTCAGTCTCACTGTCCCTTTGTCTAGCACCTGAACTGTCCTTTAGGCCAAAATCTCATCAAGATGTAGAGTCATCAGGTCCAGAGTCCTTTCCTGTCAGGTGGTTATGTCAACAACTCCTCGTCCGCCAAGGCACTCCCTGGGTGGGTGGGGAAGGAACCGTTGGTTGGCAAGGAGGGGCGGGGAGGGGAGACGCCGCCCTCGGGACTGACTGGAGAGGGTGGGATGTGGAGAGGGAAGGTGGGTGCGGGTGACCTGGGCAGGGCCTGGTCCTTCCCTCACGTGCTGCCCTCGTGTCAGACAGGCTTCTTCCTCCCCTGCGTGGGTGGTACAGAGGGGACGCCCTGTCTCCCCTTCCCACAGCACACGGGTGGGGGGCAGGCAGCTCAGACTTCCAGTCTGTGTATCTCAAAGGTTGCCCATACTGAGGCTCCTTTACCTTCTTTTTCCTCTTGTTTCACATTCCGTGCGGCCCTGTAGAGGTGGAACGTGCCCCATTCTTTGCTCCATGCTCTGCATGTGGTAGGGAAGATGGTGGTGTGACTTCTGGGGGGCAGGGTGCAGGTGACAGACCCCTGGTGAGGAAAGGCCATGGCAGTGAGGCAGATGTCTGTCTGTCTCTTCTACTGTGGTGGGGAATATGTCTGTTTCTCATTTACCACTGAGTCTCCAGAACAGTGACTGGCACTTAGTGGTGCTCAGTAAATACTGGTTGAATGAATGACTCTAATATACAAAAACATGAAATTTGGAAAGCCAAATTTCATTGAAAAGTTAGGAAAATAGGTTTAAGCTATAAATTATTAAGTTGCTTTATTCTAACACACCACACATATAATATCCAAAAAATATATAGTATTCATTTATATATGTAGGTATGTGTTATACTGCATTTTTATATACCTATACATAATTTTTTCCCAATTGCTGTGTGAACAACACAATGCTCATACAGTAACTATCTCAACTACCTGGAATGATGGCTCTGTATCTTTAAGAGAAGTAGGTGTCCAAATTCTGTCCACACTGAGAAAGATCGTCATTTGTCCTGGACAGTCACTGAGCAATGACTCATTTTGTATCCCCCTATGCTGTTCTCTGCCTTGTGCCTTGATTGTGAAGACACAGGATGGGAGGAGAAGGGAGAATGTTCTTTCTTCTTGGGTTGGTCACAGCGTCCCGTAGAGCTATGAAGAGCCAGAGAAATCTTGTTGATAAGCATTTATGGGCAAGTCGTGAAGAAATTCTGTTTTTATTGCCCTCTGGAAAGAGGCAGGATTCAGCAAATGTTCTATACCCTCTCTTGCTTCTGAATCCATGCTATCCCCTTCCTCTGATTTCTTTCTGCACAGTTTCTCCCTATTTGGACAGAGGCGATTGAGATCTTTCACTGGTGTGTCTCTATGGTGGGGCTCCCAATGAGCCCTCCCCTCCTGTAACTCTGCCCAGCCCTGACCGTATTTCTCTTCTAGTCAAGTCAAAACTTTTTACAGCTGAGTAATCTTATCAGGAAAAGAAAAACTAAAGCAAAAAAAAAAAAACAAAACCAAAAACCAAAACCAAACAAAAATAATCCATGCACACATAGCAGACAACAGGGCAGAAGGAATAGTGTCATAGAAAACTTAGAGACAGTAAAATAATTCAGAAAAAAATTACGGTTGGCTGAGAAACTGTTAAAAACCATTTGGCAATTTTGAATTTGAACTTCTTTCCTGACACTGACTTTAGATTTGAAAACCATCCATTTTGAGGAGACATACCAACTCCTTTCTTTCTTCCCATTTCCCAAGTTGTCTTCCCACCTGCGCCCTAAACTCCTAGGAATTAGATTTCTTGGGGTTTGGAAGTCAGCCAGGTCTAAAATTGACATGGAGGTTGTGGGAGCAGAGAAGGTAGCAGGCCAGGGAGACTGAGGACAGATACTTAGGAAGCGAATGGCTATAGAGCCAGTCCATTTCTGATTACCCGCCAGTGGGAGGGCAGATCACCTGCTTTGTGTGACCCCCCTGGGTGCTCCTGTCCTTCGCGGGGCTGAGCTAAGGGAGTGGAATCAGGAACATAAACAGCTGCTTGATGGGGCCTGTGATGAGGGAGAGAAGGAAGAGGGGAGAAGGGGAGTTTGAGAGAGAGAGAGACAGAAAAAGGATATCTCAGATTGCAGTTGAAGGCCAGCTAGAACTCACTTGAGAACTAGTAGCTGCAGGAGTTAACAGCATGGATCCTAGAGTCGGATAAGCTACTCAAATCTCCTGTGATTTCCTGGCTGTGTGATGCTGGGCAGGTGCCTTGACCACCCCCTGCCTCAGGTTCCTCAATGTAAAAGATGGATAATAATTTTTGTGTCACAGGGTTGCTATGAAATTAAACTCATGAACAAATATGAAGGGTAGTTAGAAGAGTTTCTGATATAGTAAAAATGAGCATTAGCTATTGGTAATAGTTGTTCTGAGGTCACCCGCTGTTTTTTGCGTTATCCAGGGCTGCCCTCCCTATAGGTAGTTGTTAAGAGCTCATGATGATGGGGAAGATGTCCTCCATCACCTTTTGGACTTAGTAGAGCCGTCCTTACATACCTTAAGGAAGGAAAGACCCTTCTAATAAGCGACAGCAGACCTAAAGGAGAGGACCTGGTGGCCGAGAGGTTAATGTTTGGCTTTCTGTAGAGAAACCTACAGCTCAGATAACCCCTTTCCCACGAGACAATGGGATACTTAAACAAGTAATGGCTGAGACAGGACCTTGTGAGACCTTGTGATTGATAAATTATGGTTAAAGTGTTAACTTTATGTTCTGATATTTCCATGTTCACTAATTCCCAAGAAAACACTAGCCCCTCAGGAACCCCGACGAGTTATTTATGACATAATTTTTTGAAATGAGATTCTGAAACCCTTCAATCGAGCACTGGGTCCTCAGGCTTTGGGGTAAATATTAATATGGTTAAATTGCAGGGAGGGAGGTATGAGATTTTTCCCTTCTCTTCATCGGCCTTTAGAATTTCCCTCAGGAGGTGGAGAAAAGTTAGTACTTTATCTCATGCAGTAAGTTCAGGGGCCAAAACCGTACCTGAACTTGCACAAGTTCTTCCTAGTCACGTTTGGCCCTCTGGGCCTAAGTTTGCTAGGAGAGTCATCGTTCCCTCGCACAACTCTGCTTTCCCGCAGGACGAGAATGGCCGCCACAGCCCCCAGTGGCTGCCGCTCGGGTCTGGAGGCCAGGTACTATAGACTCTGTGATACCAACCAAGTTTGGGGCATCGTCCTAGAAGCGGTGGCTGCAGCGGGGGCCGTGACCTCGGTGGCCTTTATGCTGGCGCTGCTGATCCTCATCTGCAAGGTGCAGGACTCCAACCGGCGGAAAGCGCTCCCGACCCAGTTCCTCTTCCTCCTGGGTGTGCTGGGCCTCTTCGGCCTCACCTTCGCGTTCATCATCACGCTGGACGGCAGCACCGGAACCACGCGCTTCTTCCTCTTCGGCGTCCTCTTCGCCCTGTGCTTCTCCTGCCTCCTGGCTCACGCCTTCAGCTTGACGAAGCTGGTCCGTGGGAGGAAGCCCCTGTCCTTGCTGGTGATGCTGGGCCTGGCCGTGGGCTTCAGCCTGGTGCAGGACGTCATTGCGATTGAGTACGTCGTCCTCACCGTGAACAGGAGCAATGTCGCAATCTTCTCTGAGCTTCCTGCCTCTAGGCGCAATGAAGACTTCGTCATGCTTCTCATCTATGTGCTCTTCTTGATGGCGCTGACCTTCCTCACGTCCAGCTTCACCTTCTGTGGGTCCTTCTCTGGCTGGAAGAGACACGGGGCCCACATCTACCTCACCACTCTTCTCTCCATGGCCATCTGGGTGGCGTGGATCACCCTGCTCTTGGTTCCTACCCCGGGCCCCAAGTGGGATGACACCATCCTCAGCTCAGCCTTGGTTGTCAATGGCTGGGTTTTCCTGTTGGTTTATGTTGTACCTGAATTTCAGCTACTCACAAAGCAACAGAACCCAATGGATTATCCTGTTGAGGATGCTTTTTGTAAACCTCAACTCATGAAGCAGAGCTATGGTGTGGAAAACAGAGCCTACTCTCGAGAGGAAATCACACAAGGTACGGAGCATGGCTGGGTGGAGAATCCCTTGCAGAAAAATAAGGGAGAATCAGAGATACTATAACAATAAAGAACACGCAAGGTTGTCCAGGTCATGTCCCTGACAGAACAGAAAAGGTCCCCAAGGTTCAGATCTTGGTTAACATCACCCAGGTAGTTAGAGGCAAGGAGAACTAGAAACTGGCCTCTGGAGTCTTAGCCCAACACTTACACATGGACGGCAGCACCGGAACCACGCGCTTCTTCCTCTTCGGCGTCCTCTTCGCCCTGTGCTTCTCCTGCCTCCTGGCTCACGCCTTCAGCTTGACGAAGCTGGTCCGTGGGAGGAAGCCCCTGTCCTTGCTGGTGATGCTGGGCCTGGCCGTGGGCTTCAGCCTGGTGCAGGACGTCATTGCGATTGAGTACGTCGTCCTCACCGTGAACAGGAGCAATGTCGCAATCTTCTCTGAGCTTCCTGCCTCTAGGCGCAATGAAGACTTCGTCATGCTTCTCATCTATGTGCTCTTCTTGATGGCGCTGACCTTCCTCACGTCCAGCTTCACCTTCTGTGGGTCCTTCTCTGGCTGGAAGAGACACGGGGCCCACATCTACCTCACCACTCTTCTCTCCATGGCCATCTGGGTGGCGTGGATCACCCTGCTCTTGGTTCCTACCCCGGGCCCCAAGTGGGATGACACCATCCTCAGCTCAGCCTTGGTTGTCAATGGCTGGGTTTTCCTGTTGGTTTATGTTGTACCTGAATTTCAGCTACTCACAAAGCAACAGAACCCAATGGATTATCCTGTTGAGGATGCTTTTTGTAAACCTCAACTCATGAAGCAGAGCTATGGTGTGGAAAACAGAGCCTACTCTCGAGAGGAAATCACACAAGGTACGGAGCATGGCTGGGTGGAGAATCCCTTGCAGAAAAATAAGGGAGAATCAGAGATACTATAACAATAAAGAACACGCAAGGTTGTCCAGGTCATGTCCCTGACAGAACAGAAAAGGTCCCCAAGGTTCAGATCTTGGTTAACATCACCCAGGTAGTTAGAGGCAAGGAGAACTAGAAACTGGCCTCTGGAGTCTTAGCCCAACACTTACACAATACCATATAGGTTTCTCTGAATCAAAATAAGCTGTAACAAAGGAATGGCAAAGAAATGACTAGAAAGATTCCTAGAGACAAGTAGATGAGATTGTGTTCTTTGTAGATAACCAGGTGTTCCTTCCAGAAATGTGGAGCCTTTATGTACCTGAGTTCATGAAGTCAAGCCCATAATTTCCTGCAGGGATCACAGAGCAGGGAGAAAGACCTTTTATCATAAACCAGTGGGAATCTCCATAAAGTTACTGAGGACCCTGATTTAGCTGGAAAAGCCACATTTTATTGCATGTCTCTAGGCCTATGGGAGGAAAGAGATGGTATCTGACATAGAAGAATCAAAGGATTTTGCTTGTGCCTGAAGTTGTGAGTAACCAGGTATTCTGTTGTTCTTATAACAAACAGAGGCTAAACTGATAGCTAGAAACTGTCCTTGCCCAGAGGGACCCATTCCTTGGTCTCTAGGGTTTATACTGATTCTGGGACTTAATCAGGGGAGGGAATGGGGTTGGGACGGGACAGAGGGAAGCTAAGGCCAGGTTCTTGGCTTCAGCTAACAATTTTCTCTGCTCTCGGTGCCTGAGGTGCAAAGCTTCCTGGTGCTTCTCATTGTGGCCATGGTCCCTGCCCTGGGCACTTGGAAGCCTGAAGGGAAGTGGGGAGGGCCACGGTGGGTATTTTACTACCTGTCCACTCCCCTGCCCCATCTATTTTCCTGCTTCCCTTGGTCACTTCACTTCTGGGCTCCCTGTTATCATTCCCCAATGAGTATTATTCCTTCCTTCAATCCTTTCCATTCATTTTGTGAGACATTGTCAGCTTACTTCTCTGGCCACCACACTTCCCTGCTCCCATACCTCTCTGGCTCCCTAGTGTCCACTGCATGTATCAGATCCCCAACAACCACTGGAGCTGGGTTCTCAGTCCAAACAAACCAAGTCCCTGCATTTTCCTGCCTGTGTGTCTTGCCTCAAGACATGTCCTTTGTCCCTGTTCTTGCCCTTCCGCAGAGCCACACATTCCCCTATCTTCAGCGTTCTCTCCGCCTGTGCCTCTGATCCTTCCACCTCATTCCACAGTTATTTGTGTAGCTGTCATACTCCTTACTCACTACTGTCAGCCTCAGGGCATGAATCACCCTGGTTAATCCTTAGAGCCCTCACAATATCTTCCATATACAAAGTGTTCAGGTATTTATTGCATAAACCCAAGAGGTAAATTGGGTGGGGAAACAAATGGATCGCTTTAAATTATGTTCATGATGACATGTTCATGATTAAATCCCTCTGATTTTCCCCAAAATACATAAAAAACAATTACAAATTCTGCCCCTTTCCAAAGAAAATAATAAAAAAACATTTCCTGCCTCGTCAGCAGTTAAGGAAGTGAGCAAATCCCTAATGAGATTCACTCCAGGTACACCTCTGGCCAGGTCTGAAAGGACTGGTTGCAAATGTGCTTTTGAAGTAGCCTAGGATGAGGTAGCCGTCCAGTGAAGTTTGGGAAAGGCACTTCCTTCGTGATCACATACTGCTGAGCTTGCTTTCTGCCCGAGGTACAGTCTCTCTCTGCACAAAATGTACGGTCTGTTGGGGAGACGGACAAACACCTTAATGTGTCACACTTTGACACATGATTCAACTGGGGTGAACACAGGTGGGAGCATGAAGGAGGGGACCCTAACACTGTAACTGCTCCTCTGCCTCTGTTTCAGGTCTCGAAGAGCTGGGTGACACGCTCTATGCCCCCTATTCCACCCATTTTCAGCTGCAGGTAAACAACCTCTCTCTCTTGTTATCAGCAGCATTAGCGCGGAGGGAACTTTTGTCCCTTTGGAATAGGCGATGTAACCATACCGATGGCCCCTACACGGCCACCTGAACAGGCTGACATGCCTCCTTTCACTTAATGTGCCTTGTGGGGTTAGGACAGCCTGGAGTGTGGGGCATAGGGAGGATGTCAGGGGGAGGGCTTGGGAGAAGGAGAAGAAAATTAGACTGGAATCCAGGTTGGAGTAGTGTTGAAATATCTGGGCACTGGAGTGAGATGAACAACACATGTGCTTCCTTCTCAGAATCGGGCCACCCAGAAGGATTTCTCCATCCCGCGGGCCCACACTCGGGCCAGCCCCTACGGCGACTATGAAGGACGGAAAGAGGGCAGCTAGCTCTTCTGAAGAGTGGGACATGCAAGTCAGCGGGACCGGCAGGGAATTTAAAGGGACGTGGGCTAAACCCTGAGTCCAGAAACTACAAAACTGTCCAAACTAATCTGGGAAGAGCTTCCCTTTCTGCTGACCTCAACCACTATTCTGTTCTGGAGATGGTGGGGGCTGACCAGCCTCCAGGGCTTAGCAGCTCTGCAGTATTTTTCCTTTGTCCCATATTTAGGGTATTTCTTTTAAGTGGGAGTCTCAGGCACCTAACTCAGGGTTTGCCTCTGACTATTCCCCCGTCATTCAGCCTGCGACTAAAGCTCTGGTCAGCTGACCACATTCTGGCTCATCCCGCTTCAGGGGCCCACTCCTCTGACTCAAGGCTGGTTTTGTGAGGATGGCTTGGCCCAGCGCAGAACTGCAAATCTGAGCAAAGACAGCGAAGGCCTGTCCCTGCCTGAATCTACACTGGAAACCAACTTCCTGGCACCCTCCCGTCTTGCCTGGGTAGGAGAGGCTAAAGGTTGCCCTAAATTTACTCATCTCTGTGGCACTGATTCATAGGTCACCCATCTCTGGAACCATTCCCGACCTTGCTGCCCGCCGCACACTGAATCTCCCCGATACGCTTTCCCAGACATTCTTCTGGACCTCAAGGGTAGTCAAGACCAATTTCTCTCTGCCTGGAGAATCTGGGCAGTTCTTACCATAAATTCCTGGCACTGAGTTTTCTCCACCCCCTTGCTCCTCAGCCTCTGTAAATAGCTTCATGCTGGGTTTGCCCCCTGCATTCTATGGGCCTGTCTATGAATGGGAGCTGTTCCTTATATTCATAAGTTATTCACCGTTCCTCATGTAGAGATGCAATAAAGACGTGGTCACAGCAAATCTTTCCCTGTGGTAGAGGCGGCATTGCACACGCAGGTGAGGTGGCAGGCGCTTGTCTTCATGTTGGTGCTGAAGTTCAAGGTTCAGTTCCACTGGGTGTGGACTTGACCCTCCTCCAGGTGTCTTTCCTTCTCCTTACATCAGTGATAAGTATGCTTTCCCTCATTTTTGGGGTGAGTGGCAAGAGTGAGAGGGGAGCCAGGAAGGGTCATGGCTGCTGAGGTTCTGCTCCAGGACAGTGGGGGAGTGACAAGCTTGGAACGGGATTTGGGAGCCCAGGTAAGAAGGGAGCAGACCTCAAAGCCAGATGCATGTTTTATGTGAAATTGTAGGAGGGGATAAATCCATATCCCCATTGGACAGAATTGGTTCATAATGTTTCTTGGAAAAGACATGACTTAATGATTATTGACTGAATCCCAGAAACAGCTCTGTGGAAATGACTCTTTGATGAAGGAAAAGAAAAATCCCCAGACACAAAAAATGAAATGATATTAAAAATTTATAGCCAAGTTAGGAAGTCACCTCCTAAGAGCCTGACACCCCGCTTTTCCTCAAAAGGAAATCTGGGTGCAGATGGAGTATGGGAAAGGGTGAGGTGGGTTGGAGGTGAGCAGATAATGTGCTGAATTAGGGACATCTACATGCCACAAAGGTTTGGTTGGTTGTTTCCCACATGGCTTTGCACTAATGTTAGCTTAGTTTTGTATTGAGAAGGGGGAATTACAGATAATGTTTTGCATCCATTTTCCATCTCTATCTGGGCTGAAATAGAATGTGAAAATTTAGCTCCACCTGGTTGATTGATGGCTGAGAACCCAAATGGCATCTCCTTTGAACTAAATGGGTGATAATGAAATGAAGCTCAACAGCCTTCCTCTCATATGTCATTGTCAGATGAAAAATAGTTCGCCTCTTATACCAGCCTGGCGTCCTAGGCTGAAGCGGTTCCACGGCTGCCATACCCCAGGATTCCACTTGATGGCAGTAAAGTCTCAGGGATCAACCTGCTGGGCGTTGGTGCCTCTGAAAGGCAAACTCCTAAGGCCGCTTTGCTGTGAGGGGTGCAGGGCAGAACCACCGAGAGTCAGTGGGCTTGAGGCACATGCACCCCATTTTAAAGGGCTCATACGGATGAACTGTTTTTGTCTTCCCTCCCACCCTCTCTAAAGGATTTGCTCTCAAATCTTGTGTGCCAGAGAGTCATTGCCTTTGGGTCTTATTTTTGTAAAACTCTCCAACGTATTTCCAGCTCATTTGCAGGCAATCTGGCAGCTTTATAGATATTGGTTTCATATGCTATTGTTATTAATATCGACGCATATTTATGCGGCAAGAACACTGGCCTTTTGTCAGGAACAGCAGCCAAGACAAAGGGCGCAGCAGTGAAATCCTCATCCCCCCCCCGGTGCACACCACGGGCTCCTTCTTTATTTCTAGACTTGTCATCACTGCTGAGGACTGAACGGCCCACCTGCTCTTTTCCTTCCTTGCCCACTTCCTTCTGTCGTGACCAGAGTTTGCAGGCTTGCCACTGCCCTAGCCCAATCTGGAACATGGAATTATTTCAGAGTTGGAGGGGGCAGCCTCAGAAACATCTTTCTCAGGTGTTGACTGCTGAAATCCAAGATCTGGGAAATCGGCCTCCAGCTTATAGGCTGCAGGCTTTGGAAAATCTGTGCCCCCACCTGTGGTGGTCATTTCTGGAATCCCTTCCACCCAGAGCAGACAGTACTTTGCCCCCCTGGCTTCAGAATGTTCCCAGTGGTAGATAGGTGCATGGCCAACCCTGATTTCTGCAACCTCCAGATTGCTACTACATTCTTGACCGTTCAGAGTGGAGCACTCGGTACCTAAAACGTTAGAGCCTGAGAAGGTCCCAGAACGTCTTGAGTTGGCACCTCACAGCCTTTATTGCAGAGAGGAGGGAACTGAGGCCTAATGTGAAGTTAAAACAGCTGGGAAAATTTGTGGTTCGGTGCTCTTTCCACTGTCCCCACTGGTGTGGTCTGTTTTAGATGCTTTTTCCCAAAGGGGGTACTTGAGTAAAGAATCAAATAAAATGATCATGGTCATGACATAATTGAAGCTTTTCCCTCATTTTCCTTTGCCTCCCCAGTTGTTTTTTGCCTGATTTCTTCTACAGTTGACTCTCCCCTCTGCCTGGAAGCTGTGGGGACAGACAGGGCCTGGGTGCAGATGGACATTTTCTGGTTTACCACAGGTCACTGTCCAGCAACCCCTGCACCAAAGAGGCCCTTGGCCCTTGGGAAAGTGTGCTGTCAAAGGTGGGATTGGGAGACGAGGCCGAGTTCTTCACATCCCCAGCCAGGCTAATGATCCTTCCACTTGCCGAGTCCCATATTGAGTCAAACATCCATAGGCAGCGTTCTTCTTTTCCTTTGTATGGAGTCACAGCTCCCCGCTGGGGGCTTTGTCACCCCTCCCCCGTTGGCAATCCCCCGTTGGCAATCACTCACGTGGAGTTTCTGAGGGCAGAGTTCAGAGGCAGTCCTTGGGAAAACTTTGCAGCTATCTGTTGTGTGTTTAATGACCCGAGCTGCATGTCTTAAGCATCGGACCCGACCACACTCTTCGACAAGAAAGAAGAGAAGAGGAACCTTGAATGGAATTTGGTCACCACAGGTGCGACACCAGACTGCCTGGTCCCACCGGCTTCTAGTTCAGGTCCCCTTCTCTATTATGATCTATCAATCCTGCTGGATTTTTATCAACTCAAAAACCACCCCTGAAAAGCCCATGTAGCTATGCCTGAGCTCTGGGCATGATGGGAGGGGTTAACACCATGCCCTTTGATATGTAAAACCATCTTTATGTCTCTAAGAAGGAATAATTACAGATCAACTATTTTTCACCTACAAGAAACTGGAATAGAAAAAGAATATATTGATTTTAGCATGATATCTTTATGAACAAGATGGAAAAATGCAGGGATAATGATAATAGAGTTAGGTGAGTCATAAGTCAAATATTCAAGAAGAGGTCATTTATTGGGTGGCGGTCTCCAGTGGGTTACCTCGGGCTCTGTCTTTGGATCTGTTTGGGTAACATTTTTCTCAACCACTTGGACAGAAATAAGGCCTGTTTATCAAATTTTAGGACACAAAATTAGGAAAGACTGAATAATAAAACCAGAATACAAATGCATTGTAATAGGCTGGAATAAAGATTTTAAATCAAGAACTCAGGTTAATTGATGTAAATGTATTCATGCCTCTGAAATAAATTATATAAATGTAGATGGGAAAGGCTTGGCTTGACAGTAGCTTTTATGAAAAAGACCTGGTGATTTCAGGTGCCTGTAAGACTGATAAAGGCCAGTGGTGTGGCCCAGCAGGCAAAAGGCCAACGAAAGTGCCGGCAGCCCTGAGACAGCTGTGAAGTCCAGGTTCAGGCAGGAGCCGTTCCAGTTGCCTTGAGGGCATGCGGTCCCACGCCTGTTAAATCCATTTCTGTGCATCTCATGGTAAGGGAGGTGCTTCTAACCAGAGAAGCTATTTTTAACTACATCATACACACAACGATTGATGGATTTGGAGATGCTTCATCTAGAGAGTAAAGACTTTTCAGAGCGCATTATCATCATAAATAACATTTCCTGGGTGCTTCCTCTGTGACAGGCTCCATTGTAAGGGCTTTACTTGTGTAATATAATTTACTACTTATGAAAACCTATGCATTATTGTGACTATCATCCTCTTTTATTTAACACCTGCAGAAAAGGAAGTATCAAGAGGTTAAGGGAATGTCCAAGGTGACATAGCCGCCAGGGCTGGGAGTCCAGGCCAGGTGCGCTGCCTCTGGATCTCTTATGCAAAAGCCCACGCTGCCTCTCAACTGTCTCTAATAATGACTGCAAAGGAGACAGCTCAATGGATAGAAGCCTGGGGTTGGGAGGGGTGACAGATCTCAGAAGAGCTTCCTGCAAAGAGGTGGGTTATCTCTTGCTGGAGATGTCCAATCTCCGTGATACTCTGCCGTGGATGCCGGGTAATCTGGGTTAGGAGAGAGACTGGGCTGGATAACTTTAAGTAGTCTTGGGACCCTCAGGGCTCTGGACTTTACCTGCCAAGCTGCTGTTTCTCGTATTTGACTCTAAGAACCACGGACGGGTTGTCAGTTTTCCTGTACAGCTTTCTCCCCCCACGCCTGTAACCACAGTGCCTTCTTTCCCTGCAGGTGAAAATGAAAATGCTTTCAGTGTTTGCATGTGGCCACACCTTCTAGTAAGTGTTATTATTGGATGTCACAATCCTGGCTGGTAGTTGCATTTAACAGAACAATCCTTCATAGCCTTGCTTGCAAATAGAAGGTGCCATGTGAATAGAGTATATGCTATAGTTAATATCACACCATCATGGACATAGCAATAATGTAGAATCCTTCGCAAAGATACTTGAGCTGTATAAAAATCAGTGTGCCCTGCCCTTGCCACAGATATGTGCAGTCAATGCTTGCTATAGTCTTTTTACACCAAAGATACCATTGTTTTTTAAGTACAAAAAACTTGTCCATGTTGTTCCTTGAGGGTGATTAACTGCAAAATAAAAAACCCTTTGGTTTGCATAGCCCAGCAAAATCAAGAAGGTCTGTGGCTTGTATTTGCATACCATGAGTTTAATCATCTAAGTCATAAGCCCATAAACTGTGAATACTTGAGGACCAGGAAGGGGGTCAGAGGGAGCACCTGACTGTACTTAAGGAGCTGAGGGGGGAGAGGAGAAACAAGGCTGAGTGGGGAGGACGTGTGGGCGTTGGGATGTGGGATGCGGAGAGAGGGCTGATAGGGAGGAGGAAGCTGTGTCAGATGGGAGGCCTGGCAACTAAGGAAGAAAAAGGTACTGGAGGGTAAAATGAAAGTTAAGCACTTCGGAATCAGAACGTCAGGAAAACATCAACTTAAGATTCCCAGAGTGTTATGAGCTGTCTGTGAAATTGGACAGAACCTTCTAGCAAGTGTGGATGTTTTTCCTCTAAGTTCTCAGCAGCTCCCGTGTCGGGAGGAGGAGCAACCTCCGAAAGGCGCAGACCCTGGCCTGTGCGGAAGGTGGCTGTTTAGGTTGCATCGGCCACCTACCCGCATCCCCAACCCGCCCACTCCCCCGTTCAAAGTCCCCGGCTGGGTCCCCTCTTCTTCCTGATGTGCCTGGTGGCAGTGACACATCAAACTGGCACCTGCGTATTTTCCCCAGGTCACTAGGGCAATGTGTATGTATGTTTTGCATTTAATTTTAAGAGGAAACAAGAGGATAGGGAGAAAAACAGTTCTTTATCACTTCGGCATAAGGGGTAAATGAGAAGTTTTATGCTTGCCAAGTATCTTTTCCAGTGGCCTGTGAGGGACCCTGAAATCCCTAGCCCCCCACCCCCCTACAGGCACAGCTGCCCTTGCAGACAGAGATCCGATGCAACTGTAAGGGACAGAGTCATGTCCACAGGTGAGACGAAACCATTGTCCTTAATTATCCACTGTGTGTATGCATACATATTGTCATGCCAAATAAAAAATATCTCCATTCACATCAGTAGCAAAACAGAAAGTTGTTGATTGTGTAGCTGAGAAGGGGTGCATGCTCCCAACTGTCCCTTCCTTAGGGTGTGTGCCCCAGCCCTATGACCTTGCTTTGACTGACCTTTCTCATGTACCCCTAGGGCTGTGTTCCAGTCAGCATCATCTCACTGTCCACAGCTTCCCAGATCCCTGCTTTTCTTAGTGTCCCTTCAGCCAGAAATGCAATCCAGTCTGAGAAACCTTCCTTCATAAAGCAAGGAAATTTGAAGTTATACCTATGTGCCTGGTTGAGGTTAATCTCAAGCAGCTTTTCAGAAGGCTGTTTGATTTGGGCCTAAAGCCCTAGGCAGTACCTCCCAATCGTCACCTATCAGGACATGGCAGAAAAATGACACAAATATTTTAAGGCACAGGGGCTGAGCTGCTGCTGCTCTGCCAGCCTGGGGCTCCGGTCACCTCAATACCCCCCTGGCTGCCACAGGGCCCAGGGAGTCAGTGTTTCTCCACTCTAACAGTCCATCCAGGGCTCTCTGCCCCTCTCCCGTCTGGTTTGCCCTCCCTTCTTGGGTTTGACCCTTCAAGTTAGAGTCCTTGGTTTCAGTTACTTACTTCAGAGATAAGTGTTTTCATGAGTCCTTCCGTGGAGGGCCCCCGGCTCTATGTGCCTCCCTCTGGAGTCTCCCCCAGACTCTGTTCCTTCAAAACATTTGCATTTCAGCTCAATGTTGCTTCCCTAGTGAGGCCTGCCACGGCCCCACAAGTTGATTTAATGGAGGTCTCCTGTATGGTCTTCAGAGAATCAGTCTGTTTTCTTCTTGAAATTATATTTATTCTACACCCAAAGGAGCATTTGTCCCATGAATGAATGAACTTTTGGGAAGAAAGGTTTTTATAATTTTTTTTTGCATGTCACAGGCTAATCAGGACTCTGTCATGTCACTCAGACCACTGTCAGATTCCCTCTTGTCTGCTCTGGGGTTTTTCAATGCCATTTATCCTTAAATAATTTTGATCATTTTCAGCTGATAAACAGAGATTTTCGTTTCCGTACAAGGACACTGAAGTCCAACGTGATAAAAGTTACAAGCCTGAGGCTTGGAGGAAAGAAAGGAAATTCTTTACTTTTGGGCTGAGTGCATTTTGTCATGTCCAAATTTTATTTCCCTGAGGCTTTTCTTTGTCAAGCTTGGGAAAGGGCTGTTTCCTAGGAGAATGACATAAGAACAAACTTCAAATAGGGAAAAAGAGAAAAAGTATCTGGCAAAGCAAAAAATCTGTGATTTTAGGAGCATTTTAGATCGATTCTCCCCAAGATCAATTGCAATCCTTCTTTTTTTCAAGTGCATTACTTTTCTAAATGGACTCAAACCAAATGGATGAACAAGGACCTTTCAGTCTGTATACACCAAACTGGATTTAGAGGCGAGTGCCAGCCAATTGGCTCAGAAGGGTTTATCTTTCTAAATTTCAAGGCAGTACACTGCTTCTGGCATCGTTTTCTCTTAGGAAAACCAGGTGAGCGTGTCCTGGGCTGAACATTACCACGGACGGGGGGAGAGAAGATGAAGATTGGAAACTGAATATTCCTACGGGCAGTCAGACTGACTCATAAAATATTTCCATTGATTATGCTGTATTGAGCCAATCACTTTCTGCCTTCCTGGGCCAAACTGGAAACTCCTGGACAGTCTTTGCTACAAACCAGAGCAAAGAGTCAGCCCTTTCCTGTCAACAGAGCAGTGCTTCCCACATTCACACTATGCTGTGAGTCACATGGGAACTCATTAGAAATGCAGAGTCCCAGTGTCCTTTGCTGAACGTTCTGATTTAGCAGTTCTGGGTCCGGGTATGAGAATTTATATCTGTAACAAGTATCCTGTATCAGCCTTCGGATTAGTGGGTCTGGGGAAAGGCACTGGAGAGTCAGCCATATCTGCCCTTTTGCCGACCCACCCATCTTCCAGGCAAGCCTCAGCAGCTGCCTTCCCAACCTGTGAACTCAAATCCATAGGAAGAATCTCAGCATCTTCTCTTGGTTTATTTATTCGCAGGGTGGTTCTGCAAGCAGTACACTCTGGAGAGATCTTGGTGGACACCCCCCAGTGTTAAAGGTGGAACTGGGTTTGGAAGCAAAGATATCAGGAGAGAATTGCTGTGGGGATGGACCAGCCTTCTCCACCACAAGGCATTTTTGGGGCCCTCTCCTTATGCTCCCAGGACAATCATATGCCCCCATGATGTCCTCCTCCACCTCTGATATCCTTCCCACATCACTCTGTCCATCTCTCCTGGAACTCCACAGCCTTATGTCCACCTGAGTGCTGCTGTGACTCAAAGCTGTTCTCATTGGCTGTCCTCCATCCCCACCGTGGTTTCGCCCCCTGAGCCCTCCTCCTGGGCCCCCTCTGTTACAGAGGGGACTGATCTTCTGCTTAGTTACACAGGCCCAGATCCTGACTTCTCTCTCTTCCTCATTCCTTACATCTAATCCTAAATATCTGTTTAAGGCACTGGTTTGCAACTCTGGCTGTGAAACAGAATCATCTGAAAGATTTTAAAATATACCCATGCGTGGGTTCAACTCCAGACATTCTGATTTCATTAGTCTGTGGCGAGGTCAGGCCATGCAGAGCTTTTAAAACTTCCCAGGTGATTCTAATGTGCAGCCAGG